TGGTGTATCGTTAAAAAGTAACCATTCACTGATTTAAAATTTTCCAGATAGCTAATATTACATCAGAGTAACTTACTCGCAAAATATATAGGCTTTACCTTGTATATTGACTACATTTTTAGAGATTGAAAAATGTCGTTAAACAATGATTAAGCTAGTCATCTTTTGAACAACTGGGCCCAAGTCTTTTACGTAGATTTATTGTTCATACGACCGATATATCGCCTGTCTCCGGATGTAATATAAGACATTGTAATGTCGCGAATGAAAGGGATCAGTGAGAGGCCTTGGTAATGCTGAGAAGTGGTTCTGTCTTCAGACCTCGGAAAGAATCAATGTCCATATGATATAGAGGGTATCTATTGGTTTCATATTGAAAACCATCTATATTTCAGGAGAAGGCAGAATATCGATATGTTTACGAGTGAAAAGCACGAGTGAAAAGATCCGTATTTTCTGATATATTATGAGTGGTATATATGAAATACATAAAAAAAGTTCTTCTTACTTCTACGAAGGAAATACTTCATTCAAAATGCACGAAAAGCTAAAATAAAACACCTGTAGGTTGAACGTTAGATAAATCGTTAAATACAAATACAATTGGTAAATTGGCAACCAAACAAACATATCCATAACAAAATACCTACTACATTAATACACAAATAAATGAGGTATTGTCAGATCAGTGATAAAGAAACTTTTCAAAAATGATTGATTGATATATAAAAAAGATTTACAACAGAAAATAGAATTGTGACACTACAAATTCCCAATTTGTATTATCAAATATTAATTATGCTGGATAATACATTGATCAGAAGTACATTTACTTCTGTTTATATGTAACAACAATGGTAGGGTACAAATGATAGGCAACAATACAAATTACAGTCAACAATTCAAATAAAAGCTGGCTCAAAACTAAATAAAAAGGGGTGGAATAAGGGTGGGATTAAAGTAAACAATATCCCAAGCACAACTTATTATTCCAAAAATGTGTGGAGCTCCGCAGCAGAAAATATTTTGTTATCGAAGTGATGCAGAGGGGACGCGGACATACTCTAGAGGTGCGCGCATCGCTGATTGGTCAAGCTATGTCCCTTGACCATAGGACATGATGACCACACGAGCTGATCACGTGTACACGCTTTGCTGATTGGTCAAGCTTGACCATAGGGAATGATGACCTAATAAGCCGATCACGGACTATCCCTTTGTAACAAGGGTGTGGTCATCCCATTAACACGTGATAATTATAAATAGATAACAGCTGGGTGCTGTTCTGGAGCAGGGACAACGTATTTAATATGTAAAACACAAGTATGTACTGATCGAGTGAACCAATTATACATAAAGCTACAATCTTTCACAAATGTATTTCTTTTACAAAATTAATTTAATAAATGCCTATTGTTTTGTAGGACTTTGTCAATTCTTCGCCATTGGATATTACCGATACGTCTCCATTCCCTTAAAAGTTGCTTTTATATACATTAGCCCATAGTGTTTAACAAAACCACCTAGTTGTCTGATTCAGGGTTATATTCGTTCAATTAACATTATAATTGATAAAAACTACTATGCAATAAAATGCATTTCTGTTGAACGTCTTTGGTATTTCGCTGCAAATGATATTATTCAATTATAGCCTTTGGCTGAGGTCGATACCTGGATTTATCAACCCGAGAAAAGATATATTAACCGAGGACGCAGTCCGAGGTCAATATTTCTTTTCTCGGGTCGATAAATGCAGGTATTGACCGACGTTAAAGGCTACAATTGTTTTATTATTTTACAAAACAGTAGTGTAAACAATCTGAAAAAAAAACCACAACAAAAAAGCTTCGAAAGTGAGACTGTGCATTGTTCTGAGACACGTGATAATTCTATTTTTAGAAACACCCAGACCTTCAACAAAAATCACGCGCTCCAAGTCAATAACGGTTTTTCTCGGTGGACACGTGATGCACTCCTGGCCAATCACTTGTCGGGAATAATATGAAAAAAAAAAAAACCAGTATATATTGTACCTGTAACATCAATGAAAGACAAATGTGTGCCAAGTTGACTGATAAAAGCAGATAGTTAGCATATTTAATTAGTTTTATCTACATGACATATCGATATTTGTGTAACAGGTAGAATTTGTCCCTGATGGTGAAGGCAAGCCCTTTTCGACTATACATATATATTGGTGATATTGTAACACTCGTTGATCTATTCAGATCATGGTTTCTTTGTTGAAAGAGTAAGAACATTAAACTACTACAGGTAAAGATAAGCAGACCCTATATATAATCTTTCATTAACACACTATTTACCGTCCCGAACGTCAAGAGCTGAACTTAGTAAGCGCTATCCCGATGTAGTTGTCTGTGATAGATGTGTCCGTGAGTAACACACAGCTGTTATATACACGATCCAGTGACACCATTTTCACCGACTATCCCGTTAACAGGTCGTGTTATGTCCGTGTAAATACTGTTGTTAAGGCACTGGATACTACATGTATATAGAAGTTTAATGTTAATGTAATGCATGTGTTTTTCATTGTTTACTTCTATAGATTGATGACCAATATTGATATGAAAATCTGTCTTTTTAAATAGAAAAGAAATAACCACATTAATACAACTTGATTTGAGAATTGAACAATATGTATTGGTTAATACAGATATAGTTTTATATGATCCTACAATTCAACAATTGCAAACTAGGAAAGAGAAAGAGAGAGAGAGATATCTTGGCCAGTAAAAAAAAAGAAAGTTATTTAAGAAAATTTATCTAGGAATCGAGGAAAGACGGAGAACATGGAAAATATTAAAAGCTGTTTTTACCTAGGTATTATTAAAATTACACTTCTGTATAGTCTCTTATTTTTATTTATTTTCTCCATTCTTTCTCAAATCTATTCTGTGCAGAATCACCTTGACTGTTTACAATATATTTTTGAACAGTATAATGTTCTTTAATCGTGTTGATTAAGGCATTTGGGCTCAACGTTTGATGTCGACATCTTGTCTTATAGATATAAAACTTAATAATAATCAAAATTTCATTGTCAATTCTACTATATATCATATTCTCATTTGGTACCAAAAATCCAAAAAGAAAACTGTTTTTATTAAATGAAAATAGGTTTAAAAGTGCATCTAACAATATTTCAAAAAATCTCTGTACTTCTCTACATTCCCACAAAATTTGACTGATTGTTTCTTGTTCTAAATTACAAAGTGTACAGAGTGGACTTGTTACTATTCCTACTTTAAACATGGATGAATTTGTTGTCAAAATAGGTTGAACAATTCTATACTGAAACCATTGTAGTCTTGATTTTTTTGTTATTCTAAAAGGGGTCCTATATATATCATTACAAGTAAAACTATTCAAATCTAATTTTTCTTCTCATTTTCTCCTCCCAGTAGCAATAGTATCTTTTTTTACCATAAGATTATAAAAATCTTTTATCCCTTTTACTCTTTTTATGAAAAATGTAACATTACAGGGTATGATAGGGTATACAATAGCATCCTTTTTACAATCAATTTTAGCTAAATATTTCCTTATTGTAGTTATACACCATGATATTGGAGAAACTTAGTATTTACCAGATAAATTTGAACAAATTCTTGAAATGTGTAAAAAGTACAAGTCTCAATGTCTTTTATCAAATCATAAATTATATTCACTCCGTTTTTATACAATGTCTTGAAAAATACTGATTTCCCCCCGAAAAGTAAAATTCCTATTGTACCATAATGGCATTTTCCAGTTACAACTTTCATTAATTTTTTTCACTCACTCCCTATCATTAAACCTTCTCCATGCTTAAAAGACATCAGTCCAAAAATAATTTATTAAGACATATTGAAATATAATCACTTCCACTATGAGATAGCATATGTAAGTAAATATGTGTTTCTAAGATAACTTGCCACTTGCCTGACTTCTGATATAATCTCGGTATCCATCCTAATTTTAAGGAATCTATGAATGTCCTTATATTAACCATTTTAAGACCCCCTTCAAAATAATTTTGAAATATCACATCTCTCATTATTTGATCATTTTTACTGTTCCATAAAAATTAAAGAGAATATTATTAAATTGATTCAAAACATGATCATCAGGGTTTGGCATTGCTATAATAAATGGTTAAATTGTGATATCATTAAAGTTTTTATCAGATGGATTCTTCCTATAGGAGTAAGTGATCTTCTGTTCCATGTTATGATAAGTGCCTTAGGTTTAATTAACTTTTTATCAAAATTGGAATTTCATGAAGATTGACACTAAATTCTATTCCAAGAAACATGAATTTGTCCTTCCCCTCTGCAAGTTTAGATCAGGTAAAAATGTATCTTCACTATGTATTTTGCTCCCTATCCAAACCACCTGGGTTTTGTCTATATTTAACTTCAAACCAGATATTTTAGCAAAAATATTCAATTCTGCTATAGATTCTTTTAAAGACCTTTTTGAACCATCTAAATGATAATAGAAATATCCTGGAATAATGGCGGAACTCATTGCACTCGTCACATGTGAGAACGTTCCACCTTAAAGCAAAACTGGGCCAAAGGCAAGCACCTAGCATAAAAGGGAGATGTAAATTACTTTTCGTGTGGTCTCTCCCTCTCGATAAGTTCGGTGTGGTTGTATCTTCCCAGCATAATTCTTACATTCGTTAAAACGCCGGTGGCAATCTATTGGGGTACAAACCCCAGTATCATTAATCAAATCTTTCTTTCTTGAGATAATTTGGTTTAGTTTGTCAACATATTTAACCATTGTGATCTTGAAATAAGCCTTTTAATATGACAAAGTCTATAGACAACTATCTCAGCTTAGGCACTTACTGGTATGATCATTGACCGTTAGATCGTCAAGAAGAAATATTTAAAAACTGTTTACCGACAGACGATGGTAGACCAATGTTTCACAATACCTTAAGCTAATGAACTGTGTGCCACGAGAGCTAATAACGAATAACTCACTTTGTTTCTGAAGACAATTTTATTACATAATTACATAATAAACCAACAAACATCTGTTTTGAACATAAGTTAGGTCAGTGTCTGTAACCATTATTGTTCTGAAACGAAACAAAAAAACATTATTAACAATGTAAATATTTACTTTAATTAAGGGGAAACGCAGCTAGAATGCTCTCTTGCAATTACCAGGAATAGTAAAAACATGGTATTCCGGTGTACCAGGATAACAATATCCTCAAATAATTCTGCTTTATCATGATCAGGTGAGGACACCAGATTTTGTTGTAGGTTCACGTAATGTGTTTTGTCGCTAACGGTTTATTACATATCGCATTTAACTTATGAAACTAATAAACAGGAATCCCCAAAAATGTTCATGATACTATATTGTTATCTGATTTAAATGTGTTCGCAGTCGAAATCAAATTGCCATAGACACTAGGGAACTAGGTAGAACGTTGGTATTACTATATATGCAGGTAATTCATTCCTAAAAAAACTAAAGTTCAAATCTATATTTGATAGTCAGTATCATGTAGCTTAAATACGAATGGTCCTATTAATAAATTAACGATGTATTTTTTCAGGAACCACCTCTTTATCGTTTACATAATTTCATATATTAAAATTAGCCAAAGAGTGATACATAGCTCAGTTATTATGATAGAAAGCACATTTATACAATAAGGAAGTAAAGTGTTCATACCTCCAACCAACGGTGTAGTAACCATGACAGGGGGCCGCGTAGATACCTCACCGACCATGTACAATTTATGATTGCGGCACATGTAGTCAACCACGTGAGCATGATGTAGAATCTGGTCTGATGTCATTTCTGTTTCCCCACCTCCAATCATTTGAATCATCTTCAGCTGGTGGATAGGACAAAATTATGTGATGTTAATATACACAATAATGTTTAAATACCTTCAACACGAAAAAAATAGAAGGTCAGGTGAAATGACGTTAGACACGACAGAGGACACACCATGGTGTTTTTACTATAAATCGTTTCAACACCGCGTGTTAAGAGTTAAGATTATTTCAAATGATACAAAAATCTTGGAGTACAATGAATGAAACAAGAATTTTCATGATTACTGATACAATTATAGTCGTTTTCATCACGGCAAATATCAAAACAATCATTATTTTTTATCGGCTAGCCAAATTGTATAGTAAACTCTGCTCCCTGACAAGAGTGAATGAAGATGATAAAATGTGTTGCATCATCGGTGGTAAAAATATCTTCATTTTCTAGAATAGTAATCTTTTCTTGTCATAAAATCGTATCTTATGTGTAGAGGAAGCTAGTAGGGAACTCGATCAACTCGACATATTAACCAAATGTCACCGAAAGGTCGTCCGTCAAGCTGTTCACGGAGTAATACAAAACCTAACTATTAGAAAACGTTTGTGTCTTTTCTTCATTAAATACAGAAACTGCTGTGCCTATACCGTACCTCGGAAGCTTCCAGTCCCGTGTTAGTATGGACATCGTGCTGTTCGTTAGCGCCGAGACTCATGAAGTAGCAGTTGTGCATGGTTCTTCCTATGATGTAGTGCTAGCAACGTTAAAGAAAAGTTGTTTTATGTTTTCATTACAAACAAAGCGTGGATCATCACCATCCGTATTTAACAACCAACCGATTTGCAATTGATATTTGTTTCCACTTTAGTAACGGTTCAAATCATTAAATTTTGGATATATTTTTTCTATGGTGTTCTGTGACACTTAATTACTAAAGTTTTCGACAGGCCGTTAAACAATACAAAATCAAAACGTTGATTGTACAGGTTTTAACGTCCTATCAACAGCTTATGAAATCAAACAGAAAACAGAAAAAGACATTATCACAATTCTATCAAGAGTACGACAAACTTGCCAACGTTTTAACTGTCTGATCTTTATTTAGTAAACGATCTATGTCTTTTTAAATAGAAAAGAAATAACCACATTAATACAACTTGATTTGAGAATTGAACAATATGTATTGGTTAATACAGATAGAGTTTTATATGATCCTACAATTCAACAAATAACGTCTTTAAATGACCTTAGCTATTAATAGGACGTTTAACAAAATAAAACAAACCAAACTAATTCAACAAATTGGTGGTTGTGAAATACTACATAAGGTAACTAAACATAAGTGGAAACTTGACAATAAGAATAGGATCACACTTGGGTATCAGCACTATGAGTAAACCAGAAGATCCGAGTATAGAGTTTAGAAGGGCAAGGAGTTTATAAGTGTCAGAAGTGTTGGAGAGCTGTAAGCCGGGTTAAAAGAGAATGAAAATATCCCAATCGGTCCTACCTATAGCTAATGTAAAAACATATTACTTACCGATGTCGGGTCATAAAAGAACCTGAAGGAACCGAGTTCAGAATGTTCGTGGTTCCCAAAGAGATTGAATATCTGAAACATATATATTTGTAAAACATTTAAGTAATGGTGGTCATTTTGAATAAAAAAAAAAGACTGTTTCATTTTTCATTATTCATATTCATAATTTATTCTTAAATGTAAATAATGAAGTGACTTTATTATTAGCAATATATATAGGTAAATAACCATGCATGCATTTAGGCCTACAAGTGTAAAAATAAGCAAAAACATTTAAGATGCTTCAACTGAGAGGTCAGCATCCCAAACTGTTAGCTTATTAACCCCTGACGAGCACATTGTATGTATTGGTTGACTGTACTTGCCTAAAAGTGTTTTTCTGGGAGACGTTGGTAGTCAATGCTTAGGGTACTATATTTTATGACGGTCTACTTAAGGTCCCAATTGTTAAAATCCATAAAAGCACATAACGCAGTTAGAACAATATTCACAGTTAATTATTATACCTACAATACAGAGGTTTTGCTCTAAAACATTATCTTATTCACCATTATATTTACGATTCAGATTTTGTCTTTGTAAATATAACAAAAACTAGCCTACCGAAACAAAAGAAAATATTAAACAGAAGTTAGCAGATATTTCTGCTTGCGAGGGACAGACGTGAAATTAAATTCATGAAAATGGAATCCTTATAAATATTTGTTCTTAATTGTAACAGTAACAGTAATAATATGCTCATTTATAATTATGTAAATGCTTCATATATCTTTTTTCTGGTACTTCACACGAGTCTTACCTGTGCTGTAGCACATGTGGCCAAGGCCAGTACACAAATAAGTCGCAACATGTTGGTCTTCTGTGGTCCTCAGCAATAGAATTATCTTAAACCAAAGATAACGCGTATTATTTATATGTATAATATTGTCCACAGGGACATGCTAATTTGTGAATGTAGGAGTGCATGACTCTATTTTGATGTGATGAGAAATATTCGACATGTAAAGAGTTTAAATGCACTTGATGAAAACATGTCACCCTTTAGAATGTTGTTACAGAAGTGGAGAAGGCAGTTAAGGTCTTTATATCGACATCTATCGACACAGTCTAACTTTCTTGTAGTGAAATTCAAATAATTCACTGGGTATAGAGAAAGACTCTGTGTCGTTAAATGGATAAATTGTTCATTCAGTAGTTCTATATCAACGTAAAATATATCATCTATATGCAGACATGATCTCCTTTTATTCGAGACATATGCAGTCTTTCCAAACGATATGTATTTTGCTACGAGAAAGTAAGTTTGTTTACTACGCCGAACGTTTCATCATTGTAGAAGAGGATGTATACGATGGGGTGGCAATTCTACCGAGTGTTGATATTAGTCTTTTCTTAATTGATATTAGTTTCTGTACATCAAAACGTGTGCGAAAATATCTACAGAAAACAAATCGTATGTTCCTGTTACATTATCGTTCATTGAACTACTTTACTAGCACCCTTTACTTATCTATTTTCGTATTACACCATAGTCCACGTAATCACCATCGGCCGTTCCTTTGCGTGTTACAGTGAAGCCTATATTGAACGCCCTCTCCTCATAGATTGTCACTACCGTAGCTGTTAAGAGGCGCACACTATATCAATTTGTAATCATAGCAAAATTTGTAATATTTTTATATTTTTTTTAGCAAAAATACAGAAATTATTTTTTCCAGTCTATCCCATTCGCACATCGAGACACATTAGGTGTTAATAGGGCGTCAAATTCAGTTCAGTCTGACGATTGTACTTTAAACGGTGACCCATGTGAGAACTGTCAACATATTTCTTGTTTAAAAGGGTAAACGAACGCATGATAACTCGGGCAAAGAGGTGAGAGTCGACTTTGTAAAAGTGAGTGTTTTATAATCAAATGGAGGTTTTCATAATAATGTATAGACACAGAGGTTAGAGTTAGTCTTTTTATGGTCAAATGAAGCTAAGGGCTAAAGTTTTCAATCAATTGTAGACAAAAGGGGTAGAGAACGTTATTTTCATATAATCAAATGTAGACATAGAGGTGAGAGTTAGTGTTTAAAAGTCAAATGTAGACACAGAGGTTAGAGTTAGTGTTATATAGTTAAATGTAGACACAGAGATTAGGTTAGTGTTATATAGTTAAATGTAGACACAGATGTTAGAGTTAGTGTTTAATAGTCAAATGTAGACACAGAGGTTAGAGTTAGTGTTTAATAGTCAAATGTAGACACAGAGGATAGAGTTAGTGTTATATAGTTAAATGTAGACACAGAGGTTAGAGTTAGTGTTTAATAGTCAAATGTAGACACAGAGGTTAGAGTTAGTGTTATATAGTTAAATGAAGACACAGAGGTTAGAGTTAGTGTTATATAGTTAAATGTAGACACAGAGATTAGGTTAGTGTTATATAGTTAAATGTAGACACAGATGTTAGAGTTAGTGTTTAATAGTCAAATGTAGACACAGAGGTTAGAGTTAGTGTTTAATAGTCAAATGTAGACACAGAGGATAGAGTTAGTGTTATATAGTTAAATGTAGACACAGAGGTTAGAGTTAGTGTTTAATAGTCAAATGTAGACACAGAGGTTAGAGTTAGTGTTATATAGTTAAATGAAGACACAGAGGTTAGAGTTAGTGTTATATAGTTAAATGTAGACACAGAGGTGAGAGTTAGTGTTTAATAGTCAAATGTAGACACAGAGATGAGAGTTAGTGTTTAATAGTCAAATGTAGACAAATGGTGTAGAGGTGGTATTTTCATTAAGAAATGTATACAGATATGTTAGAGTTAGTGTTCAATAGTCAAATGTAGACACAGTTATCAGAGTTAGTTTTTTATACTCAAAAGTTGACACAGAGATTAGAGTTAGTGTTTTCAAATAAAAAGTAGACATTTACATTACATTAGAAAAATAATTATTGTAACAGACTCCTTGTAATTTCTAAATATAACGTAGGTACAGTACCAGTCATTTGGCCCTCGACTCTGTAGTAACAACCAGTGATTGGATTGGTCTCAATGTATAGTTCCAAATAATGTTAAACAAAAATTCAAAAAAAATCATAAGACTTATTCAAAATTGAGCGACATCTGTAGGCATGATTAAGTGTTCCAGTTAAGACTTACCAGAGGGAAGCGAGCACATCAGACTAATTTCTCTCCGTTTAATAATAATAATAATACTTAGAGGTTCTTATATAGTGCTTTATCACTATCTAGTTCTTAGGTCGTCACAAAGCGGTTCACAAATTATTACCCGTGGTTATAGGGCCTTTGCAACCAGCCAATGTCTTTCTTAACTCCCTGGCGAGCATACAGCCGATGCTTCCATTTCGGCTCTTGCTAGCTTACTAGCAACTAGCACTGCCCAACCACGTACTCATTTACAGCCGAATGGACTAGAATAGCGGAGTAAAGTATACTGCTCAAAGATACAACACAGTGCCGTGACGTGACTCGAACCCGCAGCCCTTCGGTCTCGAGCCTAGTGTCCTACCACTAGACTACCGTGCCTCTATGGCACATACAATTCATGCCTCCTTCACGTATTTAGGCAAACCCAATATTTACTAGGGATGCCCACTAAACCAGAACAACTGTATTGAACATCCTTTGTATGACAACCCTTGAACCTTGTAACTTACAAACAAAGCAGAAAGTTCTTCTGTAGCAATCAATTACCAGACTAATTGCCCCGTTGTTTAGGCCCCACTACATACCTAAAATATGACACACGTGAAAATATACGCCGTAAGTAATTTATCACCTTTCCAATGTCTGCGCATACAGATGATCAAATTTGCAACAAACTGATCAAAAATATCAACTGAATAACCTAAATTTAATCGTATATCTATATTTATTCATTTTGTAAAATATTAAGTGAACTCTATGAATATAACCGACGGAAAGGAGAAATGATTCCGGCCCACTAAAAGGGAGGAAAAGTATATATAGAAGTACTGTAAAAATACATAAAAATAGTAGAATACAATACAATATGATATCATATAACTTATATTTAAACACAAATATTTACATTTGCATGGCATTGTCACTATATAGCCTCTTTGAAAGCTGTGTCGTTGATGGGACTTTAATTACCATGCATCACGGGACACAACTATTAGCGTATTAATACAACACTGACCGGAACTACAATATCCAATGTAAATAAACATGACGGCTGCTGAAATATCGCTGGACATTGTGAGATTTGACAATGTCATTGTAAATTTATGTGCAAAATAAAAAATAAAATAAAAAAAAACACTTGTATAACAACGAAAACAAGACCAAGGTCTGCAATATCGTACACAATGCACATCGGTTGAAATCACCAATGCCGGCATTGGAAACAATTTTACGCTCATGCAATGTATCAGAAATATCGTCTGTTACACTGCACTGATCAACAGGGGTTCGTTACAAATGTCTGAAAAACACATATTCTATAGACCTACTGACACATATGTAACAGATCTACTGATATGAGTCACAGCACACATAAACATTTCAGTCATTTGTAACGAACCTGTGCTCCGTCGCAAGATCACTCACCTCAAACGCTATCAGTTTCACACGTCTCGCATCTACGGTTCCTCAGTTTCTGACGACATGTGAAATAACGAAGCTGTTATTGAATCTACCGACTATTGTCAGGTTCCCATACAATCAACAAATACATTCACGCCTGGATTCTTCACAAAATGAGCAAAGAGAAAAGTTCGAATTAACTTCCAAATATCACTCCCTCGTGGAGGGCAAGGTCGGATTTACGCATAGGTGCTCGGGTTCTGGAATATATGTGATATATTGTCGCACCCACTAGATATCGCACCCCCTTATACTAATAAATCATATAAGTATAAGGGATGCGATATCTAGTGGGTGCGACAATATATCACATATATTCCAGAACCCGAGCACCTGTGGATTTACGGTGTTCACTGTATTTGTCCATGCGCGAAATTTGTTCCGGGGAAAAATCGAAACAATTTAAAATCTAACTTTCAGCTCAGAGTTCTATTGATAAACTTAAATCACCCTATAGACATATCATACGCAATTGTATTGATACTGAATTGTGGAATAAAATTGAATTATTTGTTAAAATTTCAAAGTAATACTTTGTTTGCCAATCAGCACGCGACAATTCGCTATCCAAACTATCGAACGAAATTATGTGGACTGTCGATAAGGCGAGCATTTTTAATTTTAAATATAAATTATAAGTTAAAAAAGAACATAAGATGCAGAGAAAATGTAAATATAAGTATTGAACCGTTTTTGTATGGTATTTATGATCTATTTGAATAACACAGCTAGCGCGCATTATGTTGTTTGCTTGCAAAGCTGTGTCATTCAAATAGATCATAAATACCATACAAAAACAGTTCAATGCTTAATTATACCTTTCATTTATACATTTGGAAAAAAAAAAATTCGGCTAGCGTAATTGCTATTCCATCAGGATGTGTGGTTGTTGAGAGCCCTTTTGCAAAAGGGATATTGGGATAAGTTTATACTCTCTCTTCAGGATGGGGTTATTGTTATATAAACCAAGGGCCTCTCCACCATGGCAATAACCACCATTTCATGTATATTCATATGTGTTACATTATGTATCTCATTGACATATGGATATGTGTTCATACTACTATAGCAACTATTGATAATGAAATCAAATAAGGGGGGGGGGGGGGGACTAAAACAAAATTAAAACAATTAAAATTAAAACGTCAGCAAAACATATTTCGAAGGTCATCTTAAAAGCTAACAAACCATGTCTGCATTTGATAATAAAAAAAGTCGCATCTGGTTCGACGTTATCATACCTTCTCCTTTAGGAAAAATCTCTCTTTGATATATTTGTCATGTAACTGGGGCGATTTTCCACACGGGTCACCATTTATAGTCCTATCTGAAGGATTGTTTGTTTGCTATGAAAGCAAATTTATAAGCTTTTTGTTTTTACTCCTTCACTTCTCTTATCAACAACAGTAGCGATCAGAACATTCCGAAAGGGCGTGCGTATAGGTTCTACTGTAACATAAAAAGGAATGGCTGAGGCGATGACGTAATGTTCTTCCTCACATCGTCTGATGATTATTTTGACCAATTGAAATGCGTTCATAGTCACATGACTACGGTGTCATAAGACGGCAAAAAACATTGAAAAGTTCACCAGACACAAATATCACAGGAATATGCGAATTATTCCTGGGCCTATCCTTCAATGTAAAGAGAAATATTAAACATTTTAAGGGTTGATCTCAACATCGGGAAAACGCCACCATCTTTAATGGTATAAAGGCCTTCTAAAGGGATGTTACATTCTAAAACCACTAATAATACTCTCCATATCAAGATAGGTCCCGGCACACCTAGGTTAACAAATTTGCGTGTCCCTGTGTATAATGTTGCGCATAAATACGCGTTATCTTTGGTTTTTAGTTCAGTTGTATTGCCGTAGACCATCGATGACCAACATGCTGCGACTTCTTTGTGTACTGGCCTTGACCACATGTGCTACAGCACAGGTAGGTCTCGCGTCAACCAACAGACATGCGGCTTCAGTATATTTTATCAGACTTAATTATTAATTATAATTCCAGTCAGAAAATAATATTTTGTATAAAAAATCATTCGCAGCGACCAATTTGTTAATACAATTTAGAACGAATGGCTGTCTGTGAATCAAAATCAATATTTTTATGTTCATAAGGGTTGTATTTAACAACATTTCATCTACTTGAATTGAAGTAGCGTGTGAATACTTTTCTGTGAGATATAACTGTTTTACGTGTATTGCAACATCTTCCAGGGTATCAGCCCACCACCACCTTCAAACTTCAAAACTGTGTTTATTCTCCATTTGATTCTGACCGAACGCTTCTGTAACGCTTGGTATAAAACTAACGTTTAAGGTGCTAATGCAAAAACAAACTAGAACTTGTCGAGGAATCAGTTTAAATCATATTAATTAATTTTCATTTTAAAAGTATAGGACAATGAATCAATTTTTTTAAATAAATTTCGATAATAAAATAAAAGGATAGCATTGGTTTATATGGGTTTCTTTGTAAGGAATTGTTTCATTTCTATATAGTGACTGGTCTTCGTAATTTGCTCAGTGACGACAAATGCAGACATCCGGGCTCACTTGTAACTAATTATCAGCCTGGTAACGCTGATGTGTATTATCATCAATTGCATCACAATGATACTGTATTAATATTGTTCATCGGTGATGGAACACATGTAGTTATGGAATATATTAGCTTGACATAGTCTTCATATCGTATTACAGCCTTGTAGCATATGCCATATATTAATTTCGGGTCTGTCTCTAGCAAAAAGAAATTCTTGTCTATTGTCGTGAATTATAATTTTAATATTCAATATTGTTTTGGTAGGTAAGTAATTTTTATATAGTTCCTCAACTTATGGCGACTAAATATGTGATCTCAAATGTTCCTGGTACAATATAGAATTGGTCTATACAAGTCCTATATATGTGATGACCAATTATGTATTGATTTTAATAAACAGAAATTAATACTAACTTCTTTTATGATTCAATTATTTATATTTGTATATATTTAATTAAGAATGATAAAACAGTTATTATCGATCTGACCTTTTATTACTGTTTTCTCAAATATTTATGTTTCAGTTCTTCAGTCACCTTGGGGACCACGAACACTCGGAACTAGGCTCCTTCAGCTTCTTCTATGACCCGAAATCAGTAAGGAACATGGTTTTATACTAAAAACTTTGAATGTACATGATATAGTTAAAAACCGGTTGGGGTATGTTCAAGCTCTATATACCGCTGCTTCACGATCTTCGTGCTTTACTAAAAATTCTGTTTAGAAACTTCTTCTCCTCCGAAGCACGACCTTTGGTTATGCTGGCCCATGCATGGTGTTAATGTTTATCAACTATTAGACTATCAGCAGATAATCTAAGCATAGCGAAAAGTAAACATGATAATATTTCGAGACATAACAGAATGTGTACATACTTCAATTAAGCCGAAAATGAAGATGAATTCCACTTTTTTCTTAAATGTCCATTTTATTCAGATTTACGCCAAAGAAATATTCTTTTCTAAAACCTAGTGTATTCAAGCTATTTCAGCTATAAAGTGTAAAGGAACTAAATAAAATGATAAAAATTTGTACATTTGGCATTGAAAAAAAACAAAAAACATTGAAGGGCTAATTTTAATACTGTTTCATTTAAGCATGAAAATGACGGATCACTCTCCGTGTGTTTGTATATAATGTTCATATTCATTTTGTGTTTGCAATTGATGGGCCGTAAGGTTTACGGATAAAGAACATGGAACATTAAACATTGATAACCTAGTAAAATAAATGTTTAATTGTAAGGTCTCCTGTCATGTTAAGTAACCTAGTGTATGATTTCACTGCCACCTATTTGTTGAATAGTAGATTTATATAGAATTATACCTAAACTATCCATTATATATGTTCAATTCTCCGTTCAAATCGCATTCATGGGGTTTAACTTGTATTAAAAGCAACACATATGTCGATACAGAATAAACGGTTAAAACGTTGGAAAATTTGTCGTACTTTCGATTAGAATTGTAATAATGATTTTTTCTGTTATTTCATTTTTGTTTTAGTTCTGTTAAACGACCCGACAAAAATTGAAGTATTTTATTCTTCAGCAACACTGAAAAAACGACGTACACAAAAATTATATTAAGCTTTAGCTAGAATGTTAAAAGGTAAAATAAAAAAAAAACATAAACTGCAAACGAATTACTTGCGTGATTGACTGAAGATTTTTTGCTAAAATATCATATGAATGTTTTAACGTTGCTAGCACTACATCGTAGGAAGAACCACACACAACTGCTACTTCATGAGTCTCGGCGCTAACGAACAGCACGATGTCCATACCAACACGGGACTGGAAACCTCAGAGGTATGGTATAGGCACAGTAATTTATGTATTTGATGAAGAAAAGACACAAACGTTTCCTAATAGTTAGGTTTTGTAGCACTCCGTGAAAACAGCTTTGCAGATTATCTTTTGACGACACCTTTTTTTAACTACCCAGTCGATCGAGTTAAAGTTTAAAAAATGTCATGCCATAATCAATATATATGGTAAGATTGATGTTGGGATAGCTGAAATACAAAAATACAGGGAAACTATATATTTTATTTTACATCAATTAGGCAACAAGTGTTACCAGCTCATATCAGTCACTCTTGTGCGATGCGATGCAATTGGTCCAAACCGACAAAAGCTAATTAAAATATTGTAAAAATCATATATCAGAATACATGAGAAAGCTATTATATAGGTTTTGCTCCGATGGATATAAAGTTGTAAGTAGTTGAATTAATCTTTATACTACTTACATTGCATTTGAACATACATAGGGTAATACAATTGCATATTAAATGACACATTCACAGTTATATAAACTCACTAAGAAGCACGTAGCAGTCATTGGCGTTGTGATATGTGTTCCCGTTTCCATGCTTCCTCAGGGAAACGTTATTCATCTCAGAAAACATTGATTAAAATGCTTTATTTTAAACACGACTCTTTTACAAAAACGAGTCGTGAGGGTTTAGATACGTGAAACCAAAATCAACAGCTAATCAGCAGTATTTAATGCGTCTGAATAATGTTTCCAAAGATGTACACATTCGCAATCATATCTCATTGTGACGTGGTTACACAATGTAGTCAATTATATATTGTAACGAAAATTTGTCAAACCCTATTGTGAATTCTTACCGTAACGAGAGAAAATATCAGCAACCATTTTTGACAAGACAATGTTAACACTCGTTATAAAGAGGAAATGTCAACTCTCACGTTGATGAATAGATGTCAGCTCTGATTTTGACGGGGAAATGTCATATCTCACTGTGACGAGAGAACTCTCGCCTATCATTGTCAGGGGAAAATTTGAACATTCACGTCAGAAGAAAATATGAACGATCGGGCACGCTTATTGAGACGATAATCTATTAAGGGTATACAATCGTGGATCCTTGGTTGCTTTTATTGTCTTTTCGTGTCGTCTTGATATACTGTCCTTTTGTATCAAAGGTGTGGTATATTTGCTATACATAAGTTATAATACTATTTAGAGAACGCTTTTTTATTATAATCACATAATCTTGTCCAATCCACCAGCTGAAGATGATTCAAATGATTGGAGGTGGGGAAACAGAAATGACAACAGATCAGATTATACAGCATAGTCACGTGATTGACTACATGTGCCGCCATCATAAAATGTACATGGTCGGTGAAGTATCTACGCAGTCCCCTGTCATGGTTACTACACCGTTGGTTTAAGGTCTGAACATTTTACTTCAATCTATGATAATAACTGACCATGTCATAAGTCAACACTGGGTATTCTTGTATATACAAAATATACCCTTTTGTCATGGTTACCAAATTATTTTGCCTAAGGCGTGAGCTATTGTAATTTGCTTAAACATTCTATCTATCATAATATCTTAACTCCTGTTTGGTTAAATAATATATATAAACAGTACTGTAAACGAAAGCGAGATAGCTCTCCTGAAAAACAACATCTCATTGTTATTAGTCTACATGCATTTCTAGATTTAATCGGTTAATTTTTTTAAAATCAGTTCATATCTAATTTTATTCACTTTGGGTTTGGTATGAATAAGAGTTCAGCAAAACTCGCCGGGTAACGTATAATAGCAAGGTGGTAACGTTAATGCATAAGCTCAAGGCAACGTTTATTAATAACATCTTAAACGCATTGTCTGCTGGTATAACTGCTTCGTTAATCCAACCATACGCACTGAGATACAGTATACTGACTCTTATATATAAATCCTAATCACCTATATATAAATAAAAACCTTCTACCTTGTACCCTTGTTTGCATTGTAATTTATTTAACCTTGCGCAGGTAGCGGAGAACGCGTTTAAATTTGGTATTAATAAAAACATAACAACTTTAAAATGTAATAAATTCTGGCATTCAATAATGAATAAATACTTTGCTTCATTTCAGAAAATTTCAAGTTTTGCACGCGGACATAGTTGAACCACCCGGATGTTAATTCGTGTAAACAGGCAATAAAATTGTATTTGGAAACAATATTTTGGTGTTGCATGATTAGTAGTATATATTTTTATCAGGTACTTGTGTTTTTCCCTTACAGGGAAAAATCATGTCTTTTGTGTTTAACTCAGCTGGCAGGAAATGCCTGTTACCTTATGTTACACTTGGTTTATCATTTTTGCCTAAACTAGAACTGGCATGAAAAGTAAAATGCACTGACGCTCAATTACCAGCATAATTTACTGCTGTTATCGTTTGTTTGGCCAAAGTTTATGTGTATATATATTTCTATACACAACTTCCATGGCCGTAGGAACGGTAATGATCACAATGTATGTTAACTCTCAACTGTTCTTCTACAACAGCAACATGTTTACATTTACAATATCTCTTCACTTACCGTATATGAAGCTACAAAAGGAACAAATAGATTTGCTTCTTGAAACTGTGACGTCATTAATATGTTGTCCTAAATTAAACATTGGCGATAACCGGAGTGAATCTGTGCAATGACTTTCTTTTGGTTGAATATGACGACTTGCATTCAATACGGAGATAATGTTAAATGATATCTTAACTAACAGTAAGCACCATTCTAAATATGACTGAATTGTACTTTGGTTTGTGTCGGGTCTTATAGAATATATATGCAAATCACTAAAACCATACTCGAAAGCATAGCCTATAAACTGTTCATGCACACATGTATTCAAAGTAAGAAAACGAGATGACGATAATAACAGGACAACCGGGCTTTGTTCCACGAAAAGAATATCTACCTCTGAAGCACAAGCATTGTTAAACTTCTTTCCCTTCTAGCTTTGAAAAGGTATTCACATTAACTCGATGCTCTCTGCTATCACTATTGGTGCGAATCTTGAAATTAGACTTTACACGACTTGACCTACGTATTATAATTTTCTGTTTCTGTTATAATTCTGCGTCATTGAATACACCCATACCACAACCTCACGTAAGTCAACTCCGCTCAGTGGTTTTAGATTAATAATATTTGGATATTTATTGAAATACCAGAATACGGTAACGCTTTTCTTTATGCATCCACCATTTGTTTTAGAAAAAAACATATATCTGCAATGTAAAGTTATGAATTCGAATAGCATATAACATGGGACTATCTTCACGTCAATATGCCCACCGGTAAAACATTTCCAAACAAATCAATGCCGTGATTCAAAGTTGAAAGGAGTTACTTCAAACGAAAAATCAAGTGATGAAATCTGTGGTTCAGGGAAAATTCTGCGCACCCCTCTGCCTCTGTCTCACCTGGTTGGAGAGAGAGGTCGTCATCCGAGTCACCAATATCAGTGTCAAATGTTACCGACAAAAGTAACCGCTTACGATGCATAAGTACACCGCATACAAATTGAAAATGAAAATATGACACGCGGAGCGAAGGAAAGGAAACCGAAACAGACACACTGCTGAACCAAGCAAAAGGGCCTAGCGAACGTGCGAAAAGTAAGATAACCTTCCCTTCGTGGTTTAAGGCTAGTCACGCACCCTGACTGACAAAAAAAGCGTGTGTCAAGACTTGGTCGTGCCTTTTTATATGGTGACCTCGCATGAAGTCAGGCACATGCGGTGCCCCTTGAATGGATATTTTTCAACTTTGAACTTCAGTATCACGCACCCAACAGGTTGACAGTGCATATTATTTAACTCTCCAACATCCGGGCTTATTACAGAGGACCCCTTTCATCCATCGTGATACTTGGATGAGGGAGAGGAATTTTGTTATGTTTTTGCAAGTTTATTAATAAAAAAGATGCCGTACTTAATTAACAATATTGTGACATTGTTATATGTGTGGCAGTAGGAAGTCCATTGGTCACTGTCGACGTACCTTTATGGTATTAAGCGAGAGATTCTTTGCTCTGCCTGTGTTCGGTGTAATTCCTAATGACCAGCTTCCAGTATGGTATTAGTTTCCATTACCATTACTGAGTGAACAGCTGGGCCCGTATTCATGAAACCCGTTATTGTGTCTGTGTTCAAACCAACATTCTTGTTACTCACTGAAATCATGTCAAACGATCAAAAAGTCACGTTAAAACCTTGAAAACAGTATTCGGCTTTAAATCTCTTCAATTTTTTTCTAAATAATTGACAGAATAAGTTTTTCTTATCCATTTACAGCCAGAACAAGAAATTGGGTTTAAGCACAAAATGCATGCTTGAGCATGAGAACGGCTTCATGAATACGGGCCCAGACTTACTTCAAAATAAAAGACCAAAGAACAAAAGACGCATGCAATTATTTTTACTATCACAAAATAATTAAGATATTGCTCCAATAAAAGAAACATAAGAGCGGGTTGGCCATAACGTGTGATCATTTCGTCCCAGTGGAGTGCATCTGTGAAAATATGAAATTAAATTTATTTGAAAGATAATTCTCTAGTAAATGTCACATGTATTATATGTAACCATTCTGGTGTGATTGTTTGATACAAATATCATGGCGTATATTTTTGCGCTTGTTTATTGTTAGTTTAACTGTTTTCGGGATACATATATACATGTAGTTGTCTTTTTTTTTTTAGCTGTGAGTGATTTCTGTCTCCCTGTAGTATGACAACCAAAAGTCATAATTATGTCAGTAAATCAATTACAAATTCTTCATGAAAACACTAGAAAAGTTCTTCTTCTTCTTCCATTTACTGCGGCAGATCTCATAGATATGAGTGCCGTTGCCGCAATTTTAGGTGTCCTTGGAGGTGGCATTAATGTTGTTGTTTTTTATGATAAGATAAAACTATAAACATGCATGATATTTATAAGAGTTAATATAGAGTTTTTTTAGGATGAAAGGCAGACAGAGCTGATTTGAAATGGTTCAAGTCAGGTGACTGGGCTATATATTCGAGCAGAGAATTCCATGTACTGATAGTTCTGGGAAAAAATGAATTCCGATATTTGTCCGAATTAGTAAAAATTTGTTGGAGTTTGTGGGCTCCCCTAGTTCGGCGGTCTGACACTTTAACATGATCATTAGGGGAGATGGCTACTTTGTCACTTAAGATTTTGTACATCACTGTAACCCTTGCTTTTGCTCGTCTCTGTGCAAGTGGTTCCCAGTTCAGTGATTGTACCATGCTGGTGACACTTCCAGGTTCACGGGTCCTGTAGTTGTTATAGACATATCGAGCAGCCCTACGTTGGACGGTTTCCAACAGTACAATGTTTTCTGTGGTGTACGGGTCCCAACATGTAGAGGCATACTCGATAGTCGGTCTCACTAGAGTGGTTAACGTTTGTGATTTGACTTTCCTGGAGCATGATGACATATTGCGTCTCAGGAAGCCCATTGTTTTGTTAGCTTTACGTACAGTGGAGTGGATGTGTTTACCCCAACTTTAGTCATCCGTTAGAGTAACCCCCAAGTACTTGCTAGCTGGTAGGTTATCCAGCAGCGTGTTATGAAGCTGGTAACCGAACCTAACTGGGACTTTATTTTTGGCTGCATTGATTATACAACATTTGCTGGCATTGAAGTTCATTTGCCAGTCAGTCTCCCATTGTTCTAGCCTAGCAAGGTCTGCCTGGAGTTGTTTGCAGTCGTCCTCAAACATTATCTCCTTATAGAGTAGACCATCGTCTGCAAACAGTTTGACCTTGCAGGAGACTGACTGTACCAAGTCGTTTATGTAAACGAGGAATAACAGTGGCCCAATGGACGTCCCCTGGGGTACCCCAGAAAGGACAGGGGCCTTGTCAGATTTGGTCCCATTTAATAAAACAAGTTGGTCTCTGTTGTTTAGGAATGATCTAATCCAGGAATTTGTACTGTTTCGAATGCCAAAGAAGTGTAGTTTAGAAAGAAAATGTTCATGAGGGACCTTATCGAAAGCTTTAGAAAAGTCTAATAGGGCAATGTCTGTTTGTGATTTGTTGTTTATGTTCCTAATGATGTCATCTACCGTTAGAATTAGTTGCGTTTCCGTAGAGTGTTGGGATCGAAAGCCGTGTTGAAATTTGGTGAGTATATTGTTGAGGTCTAAGTGATCCATGACATTGCTATGAATAATGTGTTCTAGTAATTTACATGTGATACAAGTTAAAGCGACAGGACGATAATTTTCTGCAGCTTGTTTGTCACCTTTTGTTAAAGACGGGGACAATGTGTGCCTCGCGCCAATCTTGCGGGACTGATCCAGAGTCTAATGATATTTGGAAGAGTTTTGTCAGTGCTGGTGTAACTTCTGCAGCAAGCTCTTTTAGTATTCTGGATGGAATGCTATCAGGACCAGATGCCTTGTGTATTTCTAGTCGCTTCAGGAGCTTAAGGACACCTGGTTCACTAATTTTGATATCTGGCATAGATTTATATTTGCTTTCTGGAAGTTTTGGGATGTTGGATTTGTCTTCCAGAGTATTGACCGAATTAATTGATTGTTCAGAATTTGGACCTTTTTTTGTAGGTTCAGTTCTTTGGATATTTAAAAAAAAAATGGAAATATACTTCTATAAAAAATACATTTTTTGCACGAAATATAGGATAATTGTGAAACAATGTACTTTTCAATATTCATTATGAAGGTGTTTTTCCTATTTGTATTTTTTTTTTTTTTTTAAATTTAAAAATCTAATTATTGATTTTAAATTATATGTTACTATCTTCTTATACCTTTGTATGTATCCGACCATTGTTTACTGCGAGCCGCCGACAGGTGTCGTGGTGGGTACTACTTTAGGTGCTGGTGTTGTGGTGCGGCCCATTGGATAGGTAAATACGGTAGGCGCCACCACATTGCCGACCTTGTAGAGAGAGTGATGCCGACACACTATATCAATTAGGTGTCCGTGTTTTACCATATCGGCCGAGTTTAATGTATCCTCTATACCACTTATCATTGTGATCATTCTCATCTAAGAATAGAAATATATATATATATATATATATAGGTATTAACAAGCAAATGTACTCATAAGGATGTACTCGAATATAGTACTATGATTACACTAATCGATCATACAACTTTATTAAGTACATCTTTAAAAAGATAACGAAAACGCGAATTGCTTTGATGGTATTATTGCACATAAGACATACAGGATGAATTATACTTTGTTAAATATCATAAGGACACAATATCAAAAAAAAAAAAACGTTTTATGCACGCATTTTGTAACAACCACTTAATCATGTTTATGTACGTTAACTAGTGTATCCTTCTTGTTTAAAAAAAAAATCAGAAACAAGAATGAGATAGTCTCCAATGTCACACAGCAAACGTTTATAAATATTAATTTCGTTAAAGTTTTCAATACATAACCATTTCCCATTTACCAAAATAACAATTGTAATGAAACATAAATAAAAATGTATATAAATAAAACCAGTTTCTTTTTGAACGCATAAAACTATTAAATATTCATCCAAAAAGATACCTTTACGCTTTTTTCAAAGACACAGAAAGAAAATTTTGAAATATCTAGTTTCATTACTGATATTGAGAGTAAATATATTTAGAAAACATATAAACTACTTTATATATGATAGATATATATATGTGTGTGTTTACTGGGCATGAATGATATTATACAAACATAGTTTCAATTACAGTGAGGGAGGGTTAAATGTCCTGGGATTCGGACGTCCTCCTCCCTATATAGAAACAAGAGTATAAGAGAGAAGATAATGAAAAGAAGGGAATTCAGATTTCTAAACAATCGTTGGTTGAGAAAAACATCTATATAATACCATCAATATGTAACCGGAAATTCATAGGATACCTTTAAAATTTAGTTTCTTTATCTCTTTCGAAATGTTAGATCCATCCCGATTATGATTACCTCTGCTGCCTCTAATCCCACAGGTGTGTGAATGGTTTGAAGGTTGTCATCGCCGAGACTCATGAAGTAGCAGCTGGAGTGAGTCCGTCCAACTAGATAATGCTTGTAAGAGGAAATACGGTAACGTGATCAGTATATTATACAACTGGTGGGAAATTATTTATAGAAAAGAGATGAAATACTCCATACAAATTACTGTTAAAAAACAGAAAGAACATGAACTTTATAAAGTGGTTGAAGATATTTCACCCGAGTTAATTCAGAGCGACTAAGTGCTTTTTACAACATTCAAAGTCGGGAGGTAAGTTGTAAAGAGGATACTCCGTTGTTCCCAGTGACTTGAGGCAAATAGTGTCACTGTATTTCTACTCAGAGAATATATTACTTTTTCCTTATAATTGCGTCTTCCTCAAAAAGAGATGTTTCGAAATGAAAAAAAAGTAGAATAGATGTGATCTAAAAACTGCAACAGTCAACAGCGGTGGTTAGGTCGAATGAAAAACACGTAGTCATTCTACAATTATACAAAAGTGTGTTCTGCAGCAGTTTGATATCGCAAAGACTAGAAAGGAAATGTGCGTACATGTTCTCCGCACACTGTGGTCCTGAAAACTCCGTCCAATAACGGGTATAAAAATGGAAGCTAATGGTGAAATGAATTCTCGCCTTTGATTTTAAACTGTCTAGCAACATTTTATAACTATGACTTTTGTCGACACGCCAAGGTGACGAACCACCTTCAGAGAGGGCGTAGTCCATTAAAACAAATGATCGTAAATTGCACACTACCAAAGCAAATAGTGTAAAAAAGGGGAATTTTGGCGGTTTCGTTAAGCTTGCTCTTTCACCTTGGGTAAATTAACACGACGATATCCGCAAGCAAATATTTATGGATAATATAGCTTATAAATACTGTATGCCGGGAAATTTTCGCTGCAGTTTAATTTTCCGTAATAAGGGAATTTATCATTACATTTGTTAACAGCATAATGGACATAGTAATTAAATGCGAAGGGCTAATTTGATACTGGGCGAAGATGGATTTCAACGTCGAACGGCGAAAATGTCCTGGTATACAGTATATAGAATATCATAAACAACAGATTCATTTCCAACGCGAAGATTTCTACGCCGCCGACAGTTTTAAAGAGTTTTTGGAGGCACTGCAGTGTAGTGGTAGGACGCCGGACTCGTGACCGAAGGGTTGCGGGTTCGAGGCACGGCACGTCACTGTGTTGTATCTGTTCCATTCTACTCTGTAAATGAGTACGCGTTTGTGCAGTACTGGAATTGAAGAATGCTAGCTGTGAGCGCCGAAATGGCAGTACCGGCTGCATGCTCCCATGGGAGTTGAGAAAGATATTGGCTGGTTGCAAAGACCCTATAACTACAGATAATAATTTGTGAACCGCTTTGAGACGACATACGAACTAGGTTGTGATAAAGCGGTATATAAGAACCTCGATTTATTATTATTATTATTATAAGAGCTCAACGGAAAGATTTCAACAGTATGAAACAAATTTTATGGAAACCAATTCATGTTCATCATGTACACTTGTTCACTTTTTTTAGTATCTAGTCAATACATGTAGTATTCGCAGTGTCTCTTTTCCACGCATTTACATTCAACATACGATTGCTCGTAGAGAGCGCCACTGTCGTGTAGGAAGACATGCACCTATGCATTTAAATGTTTTATATTGTGTTGAAAACTAACACAAATATAAGTATTTTCGTGACATAACTTGTGTTCAAAACTTAATACCGCTTTGCGAATGTTAATTTGTATTGTTAAATTTTGTTGGGAATCAATAGGTATAGTCAGAAAGAGTTTCCCGATAATGTCTGGGACATTTTGAGGCTATAGTTGTTACCAGTCCAACACCTTGGGGAGGTTTGTTAATTGACTTACCGACGTCGGGTCGTAATAGAACATAACTGATGAGTGCTCAGGACGATCATGGTGTCCGAAAATCTGAAGTTAGGGTAAACAAATTTAGTCTGTGAACATTAAAATAGCGTGAATAAAAATGGAAAGTTTTAACATAACTACAGAACTATGTTATATAACACAGTTTGATGATAATACTTATCATTTGATAGTGTAATAACGCTGGTTTGTAGACAACTCCGAATATATAAATATTTGAGTATTTCGTCTTATTACCAAACAGTCAATCATTATACATCTGTACATTGGATTCCCTCTTTTTTCAAAGGGTTTTCTAATTGTGTAGTCAGTTTAATGTGAGAAATATCACTAACACAATAGAAAGATATCAACTTTATTTTCAGCAGAAAACTCTATAAAGAAGTAACAACTGGCTGAACCTTGTACATATGTAATATAAATCAATTATAAAAGTTTGTTAAAAATAGGTAAATTATATTAATTTCTTAAGAAAATCTGCATGTTCAAAGAAAAGTTTGAGTTTGGAGATTAAAAAGAGTTGCCAAATAACTATAAAAGACATATATTATGCTATTTATAAACCATAAATCATAAATTATCCGAGACTGCGAGATGGAATGGTACTGGACGTCCAACTAACATATGTACTTTCTGTGACAGCGAATGAACAGGAGACAAGTTACATTATTTACAAGAATGTCGGGTACTATCCGACTACAGGAAGTATATTCAAGTAATTTATACCGTTCTCTGAAAAATGTTTGTGTCTTCATAAAATTATTTTTTTCAAAAGGATCTGTCCTCCTTAAATCATTTGTGTGTATATTGGGTGGGATTACTTATGTATTTTATGTCTTTATTGCTTAATGAACACATAATATCTCCGTAAATAAATTGAAAATATGTTTTCCCTTTGCCCTGCTTTTTGAAAAGAGAACAACATGTAATTGTTGCTATGTCTATTAAGCTTTAGGTTATGTGGGGAAAATCTGTTTTAACATTAACAATAAAAGCTATAAATGTAACTATTTTAAACTAGTATGCGAGCTAAATCAAGTCCGAATTAATACCCTTTTTTTCCCTGTTGAAAACATATATTGACCAAAGGAACTTTGAACAGTGGCTGATAATATCGTCAATTTTAAATAATTGGTAAAAATGCGTTTATCTTAAAACAATACCTGAGCAGACACACAGGCGACGAAAGCTAACAGGCAGGCGTGTTTCAACATGTTGGCCTTCTTTATAATTGACTAGGAGAGTGTGAGGACCGAGTGTGTACTCTCCTAGGGTCACGGAACACCTTTGCTATATACAAGAAGTCACTGGATAGTGGTGTGTCCTATCTACACTGTACAATGAACTATATATATAGCATAGTTTTACTTTTTAAACGGCTATTCTCACTTAAGTTGGACTATCAGCAAGTTCAAGTCATTATTCGGTCCGGGGCCCATATCAATAAACCATTCTCATGCTCAAACTCTGAGAATGTGTCGTTTTCTAATCTTATTCTAATGGATAAATAAACAAAAAGGCAATTTTTGTCAGCGAATTGGGAATATTTTAATTTGGTAATGTCGTTTTCTATATTTAATCTTGACATCTTTCTCATTTTACACTATTTAAGCCAATTCCAAGAAAATTGGTTTGAACACAGAATCCATGCTTGAGCCTGAGTATATGTCCATGAATACGCTCCCTGACTCAACAAGAGACAACAGAAATATCACTCTTATAATTGTATTTCTGAGATGAAACAACAACTTTTACAAATTGAATTCGGCTCATATTTATTAAATTTACAATATTTATTATGCCTGTTTCGTGACGAGAATTAGTGAACATAGTAAAATGTAACTTACCCTTTTTTCGGTCTTGTGTCAAGAGCCGAATATTCTTTATCATTTTATCATTAATAGGTTATAGCAAGAAACATTAAATTATGTAATATTTATTTATATAACTAACAGTGATAGAAGAAAACAAATATCAATTAAATATGCTTAGCTTAGCTGTTAGGTTTTAGAACTATTCATAGCTGGGGTTAATAGTATAAGGGACTCGGGCATCAAGGTCGGTAGCAGATATGAGAGTGTAAGGTTGGGAAGGTTTGGTACGAACATGTCATCGAGACAGCGAATGGTGGGAGCGAACAGATTTCGTGTGTGGAAGGTTATATCCGAACATTTCGGCGGGGGGTGGGGTGGTTCTTTAGAGGTAAGGACGAACAGATCAGGGGTGGGGGTTTAGAATCGGACACTTCGGGAGGGACGGA